GTAAACCACAGAAAGTTTACCTGGATCCAGGGGGCAATGGAAGCCACTGAAAATCTGTGAGCAAGCAACAGCCAACTTGGATTTCTGCTTCAGACCAGTGTCTCTGGTCTTGAACAAGAGTCACCACAAACTAGATCCTGGTGATTCTCTGAACTATTCCCAATACTCAGCAAAATAAATAAAAGCACTAGAAAAGACTGTCACAACTGTCCTCCATGGTTTTGTGGGGATTTTTTTTTAATCAAATACAAAGATATTATATGAAATATATAGAAGAAATCTAAGAATAGTCTCTTTAAGAAGACTGGATTTGTGTATAATTAGACCTAACTGTGAGGTCATACTTTTCTCAGAGTTGTGTCTAAAGTTGGGTGTTACCATAAGAATCTAAGAAAAAAAGTTTTAAAGCAGGAAAAAAAAAATGACACACACTACACCTTTTTATAAGGGCAATGTTGATCTGATAGCTTCATAGAGTCTGCCAAAACAAAGTCTTAAAAAATGGAAAATAATGTATTAGGCTTCCAGAACAAATAATCCAAAATCCACAATATTAACTATACGGTGGCTTTTACTGGTTAATGAAATCATTACACTGTTGATGTTTAAAAGAGCCAGGTTTTCTAATCATGCCGTACTAACATCTTTTTCTACTATAACTTCAAAATGCCTTTGTATTCCCCTATTTCCCTAAACTTCTATAATGAAAGACTAATTTTATAGATAGAAAAAGACAACTAAACTCTAGTGATTTAACATAGGTATTTATTTTCTAACCAAACACGTGGCGAAGGCCTGAAGCGGTATAGAAAACACACCTTAGAGAACTAGCCACGCCAATATGAGACCCTGCTTATACCCTGAGAAACTAGTCCAGAACTTAAAAGACATTCAATTACTGCCCACAATTGCATTTCCTCATCTTCTCAGAGACCGCGACCCCTGGACACATCTCACTACACTGAGTCAGATAGTCTCTGATTACACTTTAACCCACAGGACGAGCCAGATAGACTTAGCCTAACATCTAAAAGCTACTCAACAGTGTGACTGAGCATTTGTTGTTTATTTTCTCCACTCCAAAGGAGAAATTATGATTGATAATAAGCAGTCTGGTTCCACTGCTGATTTACTGGGAGAAATCAGATAATCACTCAAAACATTCCATTCCACCTCTAAGCCAAAGAAAACACACTGGGGGCAAGTGGTAACACCAGACACTTGTAGACCTGGATGAAGGGCCTCATACAGTTGGTTCTTCCCCAAAGATGACGTTTACCTCTATCATACAAATGCGGAGAACACAGACCCATGAAACCAGTCCTTTACTAAATGGGTAGCTGGACCAGAATAAACGCCTACATACCAAAAGAGAGAGAAAAGACCACTGGTTAAGAACTTCTATCGGCCTTTGGACTTGGCTTAAAAAAAGAGGGCACAATAATGAGATATTACTACACACCTATTAGAATGGGCAAAATCCAAAACAGACAACATCAAATGCTAGCAAGGATGTGGAGCAATAGGAACTCTCATTCATTGCTGGTGGGAATGCAAAATGCTACAGCCACTTCAAAAAGACTGGCAGTTTCTCAACAAAATAAACACACTCTCACCATACCATCCAGTAATTGTGCTCCTTAGTATTTACCCAAATGAGCTGAAACCTCTGTCCACCCAAAAACTTGTACACAGATGTTTACTGCAGCTTTATTAATAATTGCCACAACTTGGAAGCAACCAAGTCCTTCAGTAGGTAAATGGATAAGTAAGCTGTGGTACAGCCAAACAATGGAAGATTATTCAACACTAAAAAGAAATGAGCTATCAAGCCATGAAAAAACATGGAGGAAACTTAAATGCATATTACTAAGTGAAAGAAGTCAATGTGAAAAGGCTACAGACTGTATGATTCCAACTATATGACTTTCTGGAAAAGACAAAACTATGAAGACAATAAAAAGATCAGTGGTGGCCAGGGGTTAGGGACGGATGAAAAAGCAGAGCACAGGGGATTTTTAGGGCACTGGATCTGCTCTATATACTATCATGGTGCTACATGTCATTTTACACTTGCCCAGACCCACAGAATGTACAACACCAAGAGTGAACCCTAATGTAAACTATAGACTTGGGGTGATTAAGATGTTTCAATGTTGGGTCATTGATTGTAACAAATGTACCACTCAGATGGGGGATGTTGATAATGGAGGATGGGAGGAAGGGCAGGGAATATTGGGGAAATCTCTGCACCTTCTGCTTAAATTTTCTGCAAACCTAAAACTACTCTAAAAAACAGTTTTAATAAAAGCACACTGCTCTCTTCCCAGGGTGTAGCTGATTAGCAAGGTACCTTCCTGAATACGTTCAAGGAAAATGAAAGACATCCATAATCGCCTTTTGTGCTCAAAACATGGAAGTTAATATCACAATTAGAGGAACTAGTGAGAGCCATGAAGGCAAGTAGTAATAGGATTCTGGTACCATCTTCCCTTCAAATAAACTAGATAGTGAAAAATCTAGCAAAGCCTTCACTTAATTGAATATCTAGACCTTGTCAAACACTTCCTGGGCAGCTACCAGCAAGGGCTATATTTCAGTTAGAGTTGTCAGGGGCTGTGCAGCTTAACCTTGACATAGACTATGACAGTGTTGTTCAATGGAATCCTTACATCCACAGACCCAGTTCATGTGGTCGCACACATTTCTCCTCCCAAATTACACACCCTAGAGGTCAAACCCACCAAACACAATCTGCGTCCTAGGTCAGTTAACTCTAACAAAACTCTCAAAAGCTTAAAGGAATCTCTCCTCTGCATTTGCCTTAGTAACACCTGCCAAGTACTAGGGAACTCAGGAAACCACAAGCACTTTATTTGTTTCCCTGATTACATTAATCAGAGATTAAAGAAGCATGGAGAAACTTCTGGTACATATAGGCTGTCATCTAAAACAATTTTAAAATTTGACTCAGTGAGGCCACAGAACATTTCACAAGGCGTATTTGGTGAAATGTCAGTTTTAGTTGAGGGAAGTGCCAAGGAAGCCACCATCTCGCACGCTCTTCTCACCAAGTATTCAGAAGCCTCTGATCTTATACACCAGGAATGAATGTGTTTGTCCATGCAAAGCCAACGTGTGGTGTACAATTTACAGACCTACTTTTTAATATGGCCAGGTGTCAAACAGATAACCCTTTCCTAGTCTCTCCACGCCCCCCTTATCCTCCCTCCCAAACAAAAACAGCCTGAATTGCTCACAGTACGCAAGAAGCCAGAGATTCTGTTTCGTGTAAGTGTTGCTGCTTTTGTGGTTCACATTCTCCAAGAGACCAACGAACCCTCTCATTTACTAACTCCAACCTTAACTAAATTGCTTCCACCAGCTTCCCCCTCTTCTCAAACCCCCACTCACGGTAGACATCTCTCTCAGCCAAGAAAGCTACTCAAGAGGCTTGGAAGTGGCTGCCTCTGCAAATTCCTCCCCCTTCCTACCAAAAGGGCACTTCAAGAACTTTACAGTCTGCAGACACATGAATATGGCTCCAATGCCATTCACCAGGGCTGGATTTGAGCATGCGGAGTGTCTTTCAACAATCAATTTCTATTTAGGCTGCCCATCCCACTGAAACTGGGGTGAAAACCTGCTTTCTAAGCAAATTCAGAATGCCATCCAGTTCCCAAGTGTGAGCTAGCACTGGGGGGGAGCATACACACACTCCCTCCCCCACTGAAGACTTTTTCCTGGCACAGGGGCATCCTAAACTTGCCCCACTTCCTTTCCAGGGTTGTGATCTTTGATCTGTCCCCAAGTTCATGCCTTTTTCTCCATCTGAAGGTTCAGCCTAATCAGCTATTCTGCAGCAGCAATAGCAATTTATCTCCTTGGTTTCTTGACACTTTCCTCTCTCCTCCTGGCTGTGAATCTGTTTTGATCTCAACAGGGTTGTCTGTATGGGGATCCTGCAAGTTAATGATGTGGCTAGCTGGCAGGGATGGTAGGTGAGAGCACACAATATACTTTTTCCAGTTATGTTTCGCCTCACTATAGCTAATAGTGGCCTTTCTAAAGGCCTGCTACACTAAAAGAGAGACCGACAGCCCTAAACTTCCCCTCTTCGGGGGCGCCTCTGGAGGCCAGATGGAAACAGGACAGCCCGTTCTCCCGTCAAGTATCTGGACTCCGAAGCAAAATATCCCTAGACACTCCACCACCAATGAAGCAAACACACGTACATCTTGCTCAGCAAGGGAGTCAGTTGATCCCCTTCACCCAGGTTTCGGCCGGTTCAGGCTTCGTAGCCTTCACTCTGTCCAGGCCGGTACAAGATGCTGCATTCTCCCGGCTGTACACCGCCGCCGCCACCCCTCACCCAAGGAGAGGGCTTCCAACGGAGGTGCGAGCATCAGCTCCGGTACCCGCCCTTCCCTCTCGATCCTGGCCAGAAAAACTCCACTTCCCGGATTCCCGGCCACTCTCTCCCGCCCCCTCCCCGGGCGATCCAGCTATAGCGCCGTCCTGATGCCAGCGAAGTGCCCAGCCCAGCTGCGCACCCCCCGAACCCCAACGCAGGCCCCCGGAACAGGCCCCGGCTTCCTCCCTCTCCCTCTGCCTAGGGCTCCCGGGCTCTGCACGCACCCCTCAAGCAAACTAGGACTGAAAAAAGTCCCACCCCGCCTCCCAGCCACGCCGCCAGCCTCCAGCTCCGCCCGGGAGGGGCCTCCTCCCCAGAGGCGACAAGGAAACGCGGGTGGTGGTTCCAGCAGCCTCCTCCCGCACCCCGCGAGGGGCCTGGACCCCGGGGAGGGCAGACCCGCGCGGCCCCGAAGGGACACCTCCCTCTCCCCCACCCTCCGGGGCAGGCGGGTCTTGGCAGGGAGCGTGCTCTCTGCGGGTCCTCGGGAGCCTCAGGGAGCCCGGGGGCCGCCCGGGTCTGGGCGCAGCGTCTCCCGGGGGCGGGCGGAGGTCGGCGTTGCGGTGCGCCCCTGGGGGACACTCACGATGGTCACGCTGGCTTTGCGCAGGTCGCGGTTCTCCTCCTGCAGCGCCTTGCACTTGAGTTTGTAGGTCTCCAGCTCGATCTTGAGAACCTTGTTCTCCTGCTGCAGCGAGGCCAGGCGGTTGGTGAGCTCCTCCAGGCGGAACGGCGAGATGACAATGCCCCCCGACTTCCCACCGCCGCCGCCTCCCCCGCCGCCACCGCCGCCGCCGGCGCCCGAAGTCGACGAGCAAGACGACTGCATGGCGGCCGAGCTGCCGCTGCTGCCCCCCGCCCCGTCCGTGTCGCTCTCGCTGGCGCTGTCCGCCATGGCCGCGGCGGGCTGGGGAGACGACGAGGAGGAGGAGCAGGGAGGCGGCGGCGGCGAAGGCTGGGCTGCGAATGAGTGGGCGCCGGGCGAGCACAGGGGAGCGCCGAGCTGGGAGCCTGGCAGCAGGGCGCAGACTCGGAGTGGCTGCGAGAGAAAGAGAGGGAGCTTCCCGCTGCCAAGGGACCTCCTCTGCCAGCGAACAGAGACCCCGCCCGGGCTCGGGCAGTATTGCACTGGGGCTCGCTCCAGCCGGGCCTGGCGCGCTCGCTAGGCCGCCCTGCAAAGCCGGCCGAAAGCTCCGAGACCCGCCCCCCGGCTCGCCGGCCACAAGTGTTCCGAGGGTGGGCCTCCCATCCCCCTGACCTAAGCCCGAGGCCGCCCATCCTCTTCCGGGCTCAGGCCAGCTCCTGGGAGAAGGAAACCTAACGCCCCACTAGCCTAGCAGGTGCTGGGGACACGTGGAAAGGTCAGCCCGGCTCTGGCATCCAGCCCCGGCCGAGCCCGTGGCCCCATCTTCTGTCGACAGTGTGTGCTCCTGTCTCCCTCTGTCTGTTTCAGACGTACACGCAGCCCTTTTAGTTTGATCTCCGTGAGCTTGCCTGGGAAGCTTCGGATAGCGCTCACAGAACAGAAAGTTACCCTGCAAGGAGCCGAGTAGGGCGAGGCGACAGCAGCCACAGGTTAACCGAGTTAAGAAAAAATTTGCAGAAGAGACACGCCGCCCTCTCTACTCCTCCTCCTCCTAATCTCGTAAACCACACTGCGCGCAATTGTTTAAACAAGGTGCAACTTTTTTTCTCGCTCTGCATCTTGCAGACAATGCCAGGACCTGTAGCGCAATAGGATTAAGACAGTAACATTTATCTAATCCCAAAAGAAAAAAAGAGAAACACTTTCTGTGGATTAAAACATCTCTTTTAAGTGCCAGTTTTCCAAAGTAACTGCAGACAGAGCATTCGGCTATACTAATAGTGGTGATTAAGTGGGAATACAACATAACCATCATTCTTCTTTACGATCATTTTGCCCACTTCTAGGAAAGTTTAGTAGGTCAAAAATAAAACAGAGTAATTATGCTACTGTGGTCTAATTCAGGGTTCTAGTTTCGAAAAGCGTAAGAAATTCAAAATCAAAAGTTGTATTTCCCCTCTCCCCTCCCAAACAAAGGCTTACAGGAAATTGGCCCAGCAGGTGAGATGATTCTAAACACTTTACACGGTTGACACAAAACAGCTTTCACTTATGTATAAAAATCAGAAAATGAAACTGACCAGACTAGTTTTATTATCCAAGCTTAGCCAACGGAAGAACAAACACGTGGAAACAAAAACTAGGAAAAAATAAAGTGTAAAATTTTTTCTATTACTTTGAACTCTGGGGAAAGTTTATAAAGTGTTAGGAAGAATAAAGAAGTGGCTTTAATGATTTTTATTCCAACTCCTCCATTATCTTTAAACCTAAACTTGACTTAATGATTACACTGTTATTCAATGGCTAATGAAAACTGGTACCCGGGAGTAAACTGAAACCTCCAAGTGTTCCAAATGACATCGTCTTTTACCAAGATGGCTGCTTCTAGCAGACAGCTCCAAAATGCCAACTGCAATTAAGCCCCAAATTTCTCCTAATTATTTTTTAGTTTAGTACTAGAGGACTTCTGGACTTAGTCACTGTTGCTGTAGCAGGAACAAAAAGAAAACTAGAGAGCTGGCTTTACTCTTCGGAAGCATACAACCAATGTAAATAATTCTGTTAGAAGTGATCCAGTTTAATTTTCACTGAAACTGACTCCTCTCGCTGACTTTTCCTTTTGGGGATCTGCTGCATGAGACAAGCAGCTCATTAAATTGGAAACGGCTTCTGGAAAACTCAGTTGCTGGGTGAAATGGAGGAGCAATGCTAGCAGGGAGCAGTGCCACAAGGCGAAACTCAGACTTCTTTCCACTTTATCCAGCACCGTGATAGAATCTTAAGAGCCAGTCTGGCTTCCATACTTCACAAGTTTCCATTGTTCCCTATCCCACAGTATCTTAAAGCTTCCACTTTTCAAGCTTACTTAGAAACATTCCTTCCAGGCAAAGCAGGGGGCAAGCTGGCTCTCAGCTTTATCACCAACTGCCTCAGAAAGAAGACCTACTGCTACAAGGCAGCAGAGGGGTGGGGTTTAAAGTGCCTGACTTTCTTAAAGGGCCCACGGGTATGGTAACTTAAAATGGATTGGTCTTGAACAGGATTTGGGGGGAAACAGCATTCTGACCTGGTACTCACCGGCAGTAACTGTGTTTAGAAGACTTTAGGGAGAAAGCCATCTTCTAAAGCTTCCCTGCTGATACAGATGGGAATAAACTGGAGAACATTTTTTCACTGTGATTTTTTTATTGTTATTGCAAAGCAGAAGCGTGTCTAATTTTCTACTTGTAAAAGTGGTTCCCCTTAGAAACAGACCATTTATCACAACACTGGTTCAGTAATAGCATTACAATGAAAACACTAGTTACAAAAGCAATAATATCATTATAAAACTTCTCCCCAGCTTTCCAGGGGAAATGAATCAGAGGACTAAATGGTAGTCTGTGTTGCCTGTAGGAAGAAGAGACAAATGTAGTTCATCACTCCCACTGGAGAAATAACAAAATTTTCTTTTGTCCTAAATTCAAGCTGCAAAAATATGACAACAAAGAAAAAGAATACCTATAGTCTAATTACAAAGCACAACATCAAAATCTGTCTGAGCCCATTTGTGCGGCTGATTTACTCCATGGCCTTGGAATTTTCAATAATAAAGTTAAAATAAGGGCATAAATCATAGGCGATTTTTGTTGTTGAATTTTTAGTGGCTATAAATAAATTGCTGTATGTATCTAATTACATTAGTGTGAGATACAAGTGATTTCATTCAAACTCTGAAAGGATTTGGTGGTTGCAGAACCCACCATTGCAGTTTTCAAAAGAATTGGAGTGAGCCAAGTATGAGATGGTTATCACAGATTATCAGAATTTGGATAGAATCGTAGAATATGCCACTGGGGTGCTATCATTTCTTGAAAGGTAATTGATAGTGTTTATTTAAATATATCTTGATTTAGAGGCTAAGTCTAGTCCCTAACTGGTACAGAGTTTCTCACCCTCAGCACTATTAACACCTGGAGCCAGATAATTCTTTTTTTTTTTTTTAATTGAAGTATAGTTGATTTACAATGTCATGTTACTTTCAGGTATACAGCACAGTGATTCATTTTTATATATATATATTCTTTTTCATATTCTTTTCCCATATGGGTTATTACAAAATACTGAGTATAATTCCCTGTGCTATTGCTCTACAGTAGGTCCTTGTTTGTTATCTATTTTACATATATTAATGTGTATATGTTAATCCCATCCTCCTAATTTCTCCCTCCCCACCTTCCCCTTGAGTTACCATAAATTTGTTTCCTATGTCTGTGGGTCCATTTCTGTTTTGTAAATAAGTTCATTTGTATCTTTTTTTTTTTCAGATTCCACATATAAGTGATATCATATGATATTTGTCTTCTTCCATCTGGCTTACTTCACTTAGTATGATAATCGCTAGGTCCATTGGAAAATTCTTCACTGGGGGCATGGGTAGAGGGGCTGTCCTGTGCATTGTAAGATGTTTACCAGCATTCCCAGCCTCTACCCATTAGACACCAATAGCGTGCCAACCAAGTGTCTCCAGAAGTTGCAAAATTGCCCAAGGTTGAGAACCACTGATCTAGTAGAACAATTACTTTTGCAGGGCAAAAGCAGACCCACTTTGGAGTGGCTCTTCAGGCAACATATTGATAACATACTAGTGAGCCATTAAGAGAGGCTCCCTCTCATTTCAGATTCCCAGTGTCTGGGAATTCCCTGGTGGTCCAGTGGTTAGGACTCTGTGCTCTCGCTGCCGAGGGCCCAGGTTCAGTCCCTGGTTGGGGAACTAAGATCCCACAAGCCGCATGGCGCTACAGAAAAAAAAAAAACCACGAACCAATTCCCAGTGTCAACTAGCCAGGAGATCCTGGACCCAAACTGTCACATCCACACTTCACACTTCTTACTATTGTTTGTCTTCAATCACCCATTTCTTTAACATGCCTTTTCAATATTTACACTTATTAACATTTAACTACCCTTGCATATGCAGTATCCAACCCAGGCAAGAGATAAAGCCTACAAGATTAATTACATATCTCATCTCTACCCTCCTCCCACTTGTGTTTACTCATAATTTGTTTACAGGAATCAAAACCATCTCTACCAACAGCAGTCTAAAGAACTGTCATCAGTAAATCAAGTGAGAATCAAGATTTTCAACAAAAAATGAAATACATGACTTACATGTCTGAAAATCTGGCAGTCTGAAAAACCTAAAACATATCTTGACACAGATCATACAGAACTGCTGAGCAGGAAATGCTTTTTAAATCCTACTAAATACAGAGCAGAGCTTGAAAGAAAGAAAGGGAAATCCCAGGCTCCAAAAGCAAAGAGGAAAGCTGGAAACAAACCAAATGTCCACCTACAATATAAATCCTGTTATATTCATGCAATGAAATAATATACAACAATGAGAATAAACAAACTACAACTACAAGAAACAATATGAGTGAACCTCAGAAATACAATGATAAGCAAAGGAAGCCAGATTCAAAAGAATGTATGTTGTATGATTGCATTTATATAAAGTTCAAAGGTAGGCAAAATTAATCTATGATGCTAGAAGTCAGAATAATGATTCTTCTTGGGAGGAAATAGTGTTTCGAAAGGATATTAGGAGATTTCTAGTAATGTTCTTTTTCTTTATCTGGGTACATGTTACATAGGTATGTTCACTTGTGAAAAGATATTGAGTTATATATTTATAATCTGTGTGCTTTTCTATATGTATGTTATACTTCAATAAAATGTATGAATCAAAAAGGGAAGGGGCAGCGTACTATAAACCAGAGCAGTAATCTGGTAGCTGAAACAGGAGCAGCAGAATTGTGAGTCTTCCTAACCATGATATTTGAGTTTAATGCCCATCAGGGATAGGACTTTGAGGCCTTGCGGCCATATAAGGCAGGACGATGTATCTAAGCTACCTACAAAATACCAGACTGTCAAAGAGCTACACCACACTGAAAGGCTGGATTGGAGGGGAATGTCTTCCTACCAGCAAACAGGAAGATAACAAGAAAGATTGTTTTCCTTAAACTGGGTTCAGAGTTTAAAAGAAAATCT